AATTGTGCCATTTTTGAATAAAATCAAACTAAAGAATTTGTCAAATGATAGGAAATGTACCGCGAATGTAAATGAATTGTTGAATAATTAGCCATGGCAACGAAAAAACTAATTTAATAATTGATAAATATTACATAAATACATATTTCTATTGCAACATTAGCTAACATTTAGGCAAAAACCAAAGAAATAAATTTTTTCTACGAACGAAATTGAAATTTTTAAAAAAAGAAGGCATACAGTTGGATATACTTAAAACTAGCTTTACAATAAGTGTTCAAATAAATTCCTATTTTGTTGGATACAGAGTCTCGCTCGACGAACTAATGATTGCGTAGCCCGAAAAGTGGAGTCCGTCCCTGTTACATACTCTTCCAAACAAAACTGTCTAAAATTGTTAATATTTTTAAATCCAGCATTAAAAACTAGTCTAGAATACCAAATTTTATGTCTTTACCTCAATACGTTTCGAAAATATTAAGGAAAAAACCATCTTCAGGGGAGCCCCTATAAAAGACCGTAGCGCCCTTAGGGGACGTTTGTCGACCTATGTTTATATACGAGAGTGGTCCCAGAAGTACCCGACCCAACGAAGAAAACAAAAATTTTGTAAAAATGTATTTATTTTTCAATATAATCTCCTTTGAGCTCTATACACTTTTCCCAGCGATGTTCAGTAAGTTCGATACCCTTTTAATAATAAGAACTGTCTTGCTCCTCAAAATAGCCATTAACTGCCGACATCACTTCTTCATCGTTGGAAAATCCTTGACCACTGAGCTATTTTGTCAAGTTGGGAAACAGAAAATAATCCGCGGGGGCTAAACCTGGTGAATAGGGTGCAAATTGTATGTCTTAATCTCAACACGTTTCGGAAATATTAAGGAAAAACCATCTTCAGGGGAGCCTCTTTAAAAGACCGTAGCGCCCTTAGGGGACGTTTGTCGACCTATGTTTACATAAACTTTTCTTCCTATGTTAAGCTCTAGAAACCGCTGGTAGCATATTGCACACTTTTTTCGGGACACCCTGTATATATATATATTGTATATAATTTATAATTGTTACAATATTTTCTGATCATTTCCAGGAGTTGATTAATTTTTTGTGTAGGGTAAAATATTTCTAAAATTGTTTTCTATATTATACAAAATATTTTTTGTCTTGTAAGCAATATGGCGGATATTGGGTTTTTTTTTTGCTTTAGGGCCTAATCCATGCAGCCAGAAACTAGGTTTGTTATATTTTACATTTCTAATTATGGACAAACACATGACGTCACAACATCCATGGCGAAGGCGAGATTCGAACTCGCGGCCCGGCCGGCCAGCTGATCAGTAGCACGACCCTCTGACCCACGCGGCCAACCGAGGTCCTGGATATTGGGTTATTCACAATATCATTTTTAGCGCCGCCATCTTAAAACGAAAATGTCACTTGTGACACATCGTTGGAAAGGGAGTTTTGCATAGAATACGATTATGGAAGAAAATATACTGCTTTATATTTGAAAAACGAAAGTCAATGTCACTTCCGGTTAATCTGGAAGGGAGAGATAACCCATTCAACTTTCCAGAAAAGCCTATTAATGACTAACTAAACATGTCGCAAAAATTACACCGTGTTTCCAATTTCATTGTCACCCGGCATATGTATCCGCACTGAAGCGCAAAAAACATACAGGTCTTACACGAAACGGTAGGTAAATCGCTGCAGTGATGCCGCGCATATGTAAAAAGGGACAACGTTGCCACACGGTCGGTAGCTACCAGTAAGGGTAGAGAAAAATGTCTACGGACTAGTTGTATGGACCTGATTAAATGTCTTAATACATGTAATTTCTCTGTTGTACATTTCAGTAACTGAATTTATTCTCAGAGGATTCAAATTGCGCTGTACTGAATCCTTTATGAACTGATGACGGCGTTGTGTAGAAAGTATAGATACAATAAACAAAATGGAAGAAGGTTTTGTACGTCCTGATTTCAATATTCCAAAATTCGTTGCTTCAATATTGTTCGTATTTATGAATACTTCCGTAACAGGTCTATCATCGAAAAAACAAACACCATCCCCAAATTCACTCTAGGGCGGAAGAAACAACCTCAGAATTTTTAAAGTGGGATAGAAAGTCCATAATTTAATAGGTAGAGATATCTTTATAGCTTTTAATTTTATTTTTTCATTTATGCTACCTGTAAGTCGAACTGTATGTGGTTTTAAAAACCAACAAATGTAAAAGGTTCATCCATGTTGAGCATCAAACAAATTAGCCTACTAGTCGATCCATTTACACAAAAAAACTTTTGCAACAATCTGGCATTTGGCAAATCCACTAACTCTCTCCGTGAACATCCGGTTTCGATGGTGGCCGAAGACTTGATCTGACATGAACACATCTCGTCAACAGCGGCAGATGCTAGGCTATTTGTTTAGGGCTAAGAAGTACTTTTCTCCTCATAACTTCCTGACTCTGCACAAGGCCCAGATAACACTTAGGCTCGAGTACTGCGTACATGTTTGGGGTGCTGCCGCCCCAACTACATTATCCACGCTCGATGCTGTTTAGAGGAGTTCTCTCTGACTGATTGATGACGAATTACTAACAAACAATCTGGGGACCCTTTCGTACCGACGGGCCGTTGCTGATTTAGCTCTCTTCTACCGCTATGCCAACGGGCTTTGCTACAGACGCCTCTAACTTCGGCCTCCCATCCTAACCATGTCTTACTTCGTACATCCCGAACTGGCCAATACGACCGCGTCTTTGCCCCTAGGGTATCAAGATTGTCGAGCAATCTGCATGAAGAGGATTTTCTCAGTTCTACTAGACTTAGGTAGTTCAAAGATCGGCTCAACAAGGTATCTTTAAGCCGCGGTGCCCTCGCATTTAGTAGAGTAAAAAAATTGTCTTACGTTTCCACGGTAGAACTACTATCGTGGTCTTGAATACGTGTTTCTTCTATTGATAGATTTGATAGATAATTTTCAGGTTAACAATATTTTAGTGCTTTACAATGTATTTATTGAAGCCATAGATACAATTTCGCTGCCAGCGACCGTTCTATGGTCACGTGCCGATCAGCTATAAACTGATTCTGTCTGCGTTTGTTGCAGTAAAGTGTTGTAAAATCTCGTTATCTATTTATATCGAAGCTGGAGCTGGAATAGCCCGTGCACGGTGGGAAGTTTATAGCTTCAGACGGAACGAAATTGATTTGATAGCAGGTAGCTGTGCTCAATTTACGAATTATATCAGAGATGTATTCAGTTATCCGTTTATATAAATATAAAATACCTACCACCATTTCCAAACCACGGGCTTCAGCAAGAAGTGCATTACTTTTGATTCCATAGTGCACTAAATTTTTAAAACGTAGATCCTTATAATCTTCGATCTCAAGAGATCGGTGTTATAGTTTCAAAAGTTATAGGTATTGACCTCACCATCAGCTCTTCCAAATGGATGAAGCGAGTATATTTAATTTGAGCTATTTGTTAGGGAAAAATCCTGGAACTGAATTTTGAACCAGTTAACCTTAACCAATTGAGCTGAAATTTTGTACACACGTTTGGTCCACGTGACTACAAAATGAACAAGCTGTAGCCATTATGAATCGAATATGGGAATATGCTACAAGACGATTTATCATTTCCATAGTATGATATGGGTATCAAACGATTAAACCAAGGACTGGATGAGAGAAATGCAGTAAGCAAAGTTATGTGATGCTAAATCAAATATGGCGGCCACCGCAAAATGGCGATTTACATCTTTCATGGTCACCCATATGATATGGGTACCAAATGGAAGGGCTTGATAAGAGAAACACAATAAGCAAGGTTACGAGATTTATAATTTCTATAGTCGCCGCTATGCTACGGGTATCAAATGAGAGAGCTTGAGGGTAACATAAAGCAAAGCGACATATTCAAAACAATATGGTGAACATCATAAGATGGCGATTTATTATTTTCATAGTTACCCCTATACTATGGGTATCAAATGACAGGGCTTGATAAGGAAAACATAATAAGCAAAGTAAAGTCATTCTAAATCCAATATGGCGACCGAGTAAAAAATAAATAAAAAAGAATATTTGTTGAAAACAAGCTAATCGACTTTTTTCATCCTACTTCTTTTCATCATACTTTTATTTTAAAACTTGAGATGATGGAGCTCCATTATCGTTTCAATATTTCAAATCAGAAAAAAATATTTTTCATGTCACTAAGTTTGCTTACTCAGTGCAGTTCGACAGGCAACACCAATGACATGTTTTCGTGTTGGATGAACGTATATCGCAGTATGCCGTTTCAAGATACGACATACGGATTAACGTCATATCAGCTGTAATGTGTCAGTACTGTAATTGTACTTGCATGTTCACTTGTTTATATTTAAAATTAAGTTGCTGTCAATTTTAGATGTCGAAATATCGATTCACTGGATCGATTCAGTACGAGATATAGATTTAAAAAACTGATTCTTCGCCTCGAGATATTGACTCTTCGATTAATAGATCTCAGATCAACATTCCAAGTCGATTTCTCTTGAAGCGTGCCGAATGTTCGAGATGGCAACGCGAACGTTCCCATATACGGTCGCGTATTCCTGGTTGCCTAAGCGTCCATATTACGAGGCCGTCTCATTGTTACTCATTGTCTCAGTTTCGAAGGCGTTACGCTATTGATGATGATAAGTATCGCGGCCAGATGCCCGATGAGGCAAACTGTTCCACCATATCCATGTTTTAGAGATAAACCTTTTTTGAATAAAAATTCTTAGGGGTCGGCCAACGTAAATTCATTTTATTTCATTGGTACAACGTTTTGGTTATCTAGGCACCCTCAGATACATAAAGTATTCTGGAAAATATTAGAAGCTTTACAAACAGTATTTTTCAAGAAATTATAGAATACAATTATATATAATACACCCACATATACCCATACACATATATACGTATATTGCACAAGAATTGCCTTTTTTGTTTCAGATTAAATTTAAGCTGAACAATTTAGAAGAGCAGGCTGACTCCTTCATACCAGAAAGAGCATTACTGGAAAGCAACTGCCAAAATGAGGATGTTGCTTCGCTAAGGATTTCATGGACGGGATACAGCTTAGTGATAAGTTTTGCAAAGGTAATTATCACATTACACTTTTTCAGTTGAGCTTTTTACCCGCGGCTTCGCACACGCAGATTTCGTTTTTAGGGTGAAAAATGAGTAACAGGTTCCCTTTGTGCTTGTCATCCAGAAGGGAAGTTGCGACAAAATTTTGACTTAGGGGCCGTTCAAGTATTACGTAAGCAGATTTTTTAAGATTATCATTATTTCCTTCGTGTCAGTGAAAGTAAGCAAATCCCTTACCGTCCTCCCATGCTTACGTACACATTGTGGTGTGTTTACAATTTGAAGTTAGTATTGGCTTCCAAAAACATGTTTTAAATACCATTTAATATCTGGAAATGAGGAAGATCCGGCTCGCTCAACCCGACGTACGTTAACATGCTAACTATCAATAATTGAACAAATCCTTTTCTAGTAACCGGCGATAATTTCAATTATTCCAGCACAGACTTTTACTGAAAATTGTTCTTGATTGCAAGTTTTACAACTGCGTGGCCATTTCTGCCGACCCAATTACTGGTTGTCCCGAAAGTTAGGACTTTCGTTTTCAGAAACTACTACGTTCGAAATAACAAAGCAGTAAAACAGCACCGAAAACGTAAAAAGAAAATAAAAATACTCACTATTCATTTGTTAAGGAATTTCAAGTACTGCCCAACCACATATCTTGTTTGAAAATACAGCTGGAAGTTGTTGCTGTTCGATTAAAAGACACGAGTTTGTTCACTTTTTTTAAATTTGCAACATTTGGGGCTTATGTCGAGGTCTTCCACCGTATCCACCCAAACAGCTTTTGCACGATGTAAAAAAACTTACGCAGGTCTGGTGGTAACATCGAGGACGACGTTTTGATCTCTGTGACTACACTCGCGGGGTATCAATAGGATCTTGAAGATTGATAGTAAACATTAAGCCGATACCTACGGTATAGTTCTAGCAATGTCCCAATTTCAGTTTTTCAAAGTCAACATGTAAACTAACTAACTATGCACTGCGCCGCACCTGATTTGGATACTGACTCACATAGTACCACAAAACATCATACCTTTTCACAGGATGAGGATGAGAAGGAGGAGGGGGTGGAGGAGGATTAAGAGGGTGGGAGGCAGGTATATGAGTTAATAGAGAAACTTCTTCATTATTGCCTTACCTACACGCTCTCTAAAGAAAAATCCCAACTTTGAGGACACCCTGTATGATTATTTATTAATTTATTTTAAGAATTATTTTCATTTTAAGAGAAATCAGTGACGTAGCATCAATGTCTGCAAAAATAGGCAGGTGAAATTCTGTACGAAAGCCACTGGGGGTAATTAAAAAAATATAGCACCTTTAAAAATATCTCCTTAATCATCGTGCATGTATGCCAGATTTCATTAAAATACCTAAAGCGGTATTAATGATTTATTTTTGGAAACTTGACCAACATGTATGTCAAAACTTAAGACGTTTAGGACATACCTTCATATACAGTTTTATTCTTAAACTGGATCCAAAAATCGCCACCTCAAATATTGGCATTCAATTAGGAAACAACCATACAGATTTCACACAATTATCAAAAATGTTGAATAAAATATTTTTTATGTGTATTGTACTCGTAGAGTATTTATAGATAGTTTTAAGTAAAGACAAAAGAATAATAAACATTTTCATACAAACTGCCACCCCCCAGCATTTTCCCCTCTTAGGGAATGAATTTCCAAAAATCTTTTCTTAGTGCTCTTTATGAACGACATGAAGGGCCTCTCCGCAAGATTTCATGCTTCTACTTCCATCGGTTTTGGCTGTACTTTGATTCGTCAGTCACTCAGGGTCCTCTTTTATATATACTGCTTTTAACGTTTTATGACAGGTATTGTTTCTTTCAGTATCCTGGAGGGGAAAAGTGGTACATAAGCAACGTAGAACTGACCGTTAGCCCAGACTTGCCACAGCTTCGAGGAATTCCAGTTAAAGGTAGCTTTCTATAGTTACTTACTCTCAATCCTTCTCAACACAAATCTGTTACTTATTAAAAAATTACTTGATGCTTAGTTACCTAAAGTAAACCTTGATTTTCAAATGGCAATTTATTATCTTTATGCTCAACGATATGTGACTCTTTATAGCTTCTTGACAGCTAGCTAAAATTTTGACTTCAACTTTAAGGCCCGATTTTTTGGTACTACGAGGTCGGCAAAATGGGTCAAAGGTGACCTGGTTGCCAAGCTTCGTCTCCCTACCACTATTATTAAGGCCCGATTTTACTACCTACTACTACCACCTATAGGATGCAAATTCGACTAACAAGGGTTGTTTCAAGTAATAGATCTAATGAACATTGTAGATTTCTTTTAAAATGTTTCTCAAACTAGAGAAAAATTATACGATTTATGTAAGCTGGCGGCCCCTGATTTGACCATGGGCACAAAATTTGCAACTTAGTCGTTATTAAATGAGACCCTCTAATTCAAATAAAAGAATCGTGTACCGAATTAGATGCATGATAAAATTTAGAGAATATAAATAACTAAATTTATGAAATTGTTCTAAGTTTAAACACGATAACTTTTTATTCGAACTTGACATTGGACTTCAAAGTCGATTTAATATCATGTCTACTTTTCCAAATAAAGTTTTGTCCTGGAAGTATAGTGGAACACTTTACCTTGAGATGCCTGGCAATACAGTAATAATTTGACATTGCAAGCAATATCCATCTTGATGAACATAAGGTCAAGGTTAAGAACAGAACACATTTGCAGTTCACGCAAAAAGTAAGAGGGAAATTATCTGCTCTTTAGGGTCGTGACCAGGTCCAGATAGCGACTACTATACATAATACATACGGATTGGCATATCAAGATTTTTTCCTGGACTTATAGTTTTAGAAAAATCACACCGTATACTTACCCTTTCGATTCCTAATGGTCGTCTGCTTTAACAGATAAGTCAGCTATACGGCTCTATCATCGGACAATCCTGATTCCAACACCAGTGGGCAAGGCTTTCGAGTGTGATGAACTAGATGTGGATCTTGAGCCGGCTCCTGATGATAAAAGTACTCCTCCAGGAGTTAGAGGTTCTCTTTTACTAAGGCTAATCAAAATTCACCATTCATGTACAAAGAGAAGATTTTTCCACAGCGGTGCACTGTAGAAAGGGACAATCCTCATTCAGGTATGTTCTGCTACCCTAGTAAGCCGCTAGCTAGCTAGTCATTCCTAATTCATTTGTTGTGAAAGCACCAATGGAGTAACTTCGTTGTTTTGATTATTGAGCATTTTTATTGAAACCCCGTGGCTGCTATTCATTTTACTTATTTCCATTATTAATTTATTTATTATTTAGTTTATCTATTTTATTTATTTATTTATCTTATTATTTTATTTATTTTATTGATTTATTGATTTTATTGATTTTATTGATTTTATTATTTATTTATTTTATTATTTATTTTGATTTATTTATTTTATTTATTTTATTTATTTTATTTATTTTATTTATTTATTTATTGATTTATTTTATTTATTTTATTTATTTTATTTATTTTATTATTTTATTTATTTTATTTTTATTTTTTATTTATTTATTTTCTTATTTATTTTTTATTTATTTATATTTATTTATTTATTTATTTTATTTATTTTTTATTTTTTATTTTTTTTTTTTCTTTTTTCTTATTTTTTTCTTTTTTTATATTTTTTTATTTTTTTTCTTGTTTTCTGTTCTTTCTTTTCATTTCTTTTTCTTTCTTTCTTTCTTTTCTTCTTTTCTTTTTCTTCTTTCTTTCTTTTCTTCATTTCTTCTTTCTTTTTCCTTTCTTTCTTTCTTTCTTTATTTATTTTCTTTCTTTTCTTTATTTTCTTCTTTTCTTTCCCTTCTTCCTTTTCTTTATTCTTTCCCTTATTCCTTTTCTTTCTTTTCTCCCCGCCCCCCCGTTCCTACCATTCTCCGCTTGCTCTCCTCCGTTCTAGCATGAGCTCGGCAAGTCAAGTTTTAAAAGCAAATAAAACACTTGTGTTGTGCTCATATGATCAAAAAAAGTGCACCAGTATAAAAAATGAAAACATTTAAATATTAATTTTGAATATAAATTGATTGTAGTTTGCAAGTGTATTTTGTGTATAATAAATTAGTATGATAGAGCTTACCTTTTTGTGAATGTTTTTTAAAATGTAACTTTGAGTAACATTCAAGAGAATTTTTATAAATCCCTTCCCAAACTATAGTACCATAATGAAATAGAGACTCCATTGATGACTTATGAATAATCGAAATTATTCTCGGAGCTGTTAAAATTTATTCACTAGTTCTAGTTTGATTGGAAAGATAATTAACACGATTACTCCATTTTAGATTTTGGTCAATGATTGTAGCTAAAAACTTAATGTGATCAACTTCTTTTATATGCTCTTTTAAACCTTATATTACAAATCTTCAGGTATATTGGTAATATGACATACTTTTTGGATGCATTTTTAATTTGTTTAATCACCCCCTACATATTAAATTATTTATTGAACATTTGATTTTTTGTCCAACAGAGATGAAACCGCATCAATAGCCGTAGGATCAACGTTAGCTGTTGCAGTAATAGCTATCCTCATAGGTTATTCTGCATATAAATACTTCAGGGTGAAGAATGTCCAATATAACACTATGGAGTAAATTTCGGGGCCATTCTTCGCAAGGTTATTAATATACTTCATGCCAGAATGTGGAACTTTGTTGAGCATTTATGATTTATATCCCTTCTCAAGGTTGACATTTTAATTTGAAGGAAACTGGGTGATTAATTTACTTACACTGGCGTTGTTCGATTCCACAGTATAGCAGAGATTCTACTCACTCTACTAAGTTCCACTTCTGATATTACTATTATATTGTTGTGGTTGATGACTAAATTCCACAATGTCAACCTTGTCTTTAATTAAGTGGCTTACAATCAGAGCCATATAGTGAGAAAATTACGAGATGCCAACAAAATTCATCAAAGATCACGTATTCTGGCAAATAACGTTTTTAGAACTATATTTATATGAACATATCTAGTCCTATATATTAGCTACGACAAAATTGTCATATCATTTTTGTTCGGTTCCTGAATGTTGCTTTTTTTCCAACAGTACATTGATGCTTTCTTCATAAGAATAGGTAGATGAAAAGTTGTTGGACGTGAATAGGAATCTTACTGGTATCACCACATAATTTGTAGCTTGCGTAGATATCTTATGCTTACGAAGGTTGTATAGGCAGTGTCCAAGATTTTTCATCATCTATTCTCCTGTGCGCATTATAGCATCCTATTAAAAAAACTGTCTTACAGTTCGCAAGACCATTGCATGCAAGCTCTTGCAGTTGCAAGACGGCATTGTTTTGTCTGCAAGACAATTGCAGCTAATCACTTGCAGTTGCTAGCCGGGCGTGTTTCCTCGATTCAACGAGCAACGTTAGCCAATCTGTTTGCAACATTCCTTCTCTCATTCATAACCTATAATTTTGTTTCTGGTTTTTACCCTTCAGAAGATCAAGTTGGATTCCCGGCAGTTGTAAGAAAATGACAGAAAGAATCAGCTGTTTTGTTAGTGCGCATGCGTCTGTCAATATTTCTCTTGCTCTTGCTGGCTGTAAAATGAGTATAAGGAACGTTCCTAATAGAGAGGTTACACCTCAACTGTCTATTCTTTTGACTACGAAAAAAAAATTGGTTAAAAAAATGTGATTCAGAAATTTCAGTGCATCAAAATTATGTCACACTGCCTAGATTTTTATTGAAACAGTGGGGACAATGCACATCATACTTTTTTAATAGTTACCTCGTAAATTAGAAATCCTGGCAATACTTTAATAACTAAAAACTATTTCATTAGCTATAATGCAACCCAAATGTTGCGTAAATTCTGAAATAATGCTCCACTTGCTATTGGCAACTCTTTGAAAAATCTCTAAAGATGATATTGGTTACAAATAAGCTTCACTTTATAATCTATGCTATTACGCACGTGCAGTGTGGACAAATTATATCTTTTTCAATTTCGAGCATCATTGCGAATGTGTAACCATTTTTCATAAATGCTAAATGATTCAACTAACAAAACTTTAAAATACCTATAGGTACCTATGTTTGCGTATTGTATTAATTTTTTCTAGCGATAAGCATAATACTTAAAATGTACTTAGGATCATCCTCTCAATTCTAAGAAATGTAGAGTATAGAATATAATGTATTTACCTTTCCGAAAACCATGTTAATTATTTGTAGGATAAGGTTAAGTAACTAAGCATTCGAACCTAACCATATCTGAATAGAATCTTCCATAATATTAAAACGCATATCACATATTTTCCAATGTATATTTTTTATACTCATATCCTTGTATATTAATTGCAGAATTTTATGCCTTCCCCTTATAAGAAGATACACAGCCTGAATTGCCTGTAAACCCTGAAACAAGCATGCATTCTTCAATACCGTCAATTTGCGTTATTTATCTATTTATTTAGAGACAGATACAATTTGCAGAATGTTCAGTGATGGGCGCTTACGCCTGTACATTGATTGTCTTCGTTACTATGTATGCAATGAAAATATTATTATTATTATTATCATTACACTGAATACAAAGTATTTAACATTTATATACATTGTATACATTACATATAAGTTTCGATGTATGCAATGTAAATATTATTATTATTATCATTACAATGTATATAACATATTGTATACATTGTATACGTTGTATACATTGCATACACGTTTCGATGTATGCAATGTAAACATTATTATTATTATCATTACAATGTATACAATGTATTTAACACATTGTATACATTGCATATAAGCTTCGATGTTAGCAATGTGTACATTATTATTACTATTATCATTACAATGTATACAATGTATTTAACATATTGCTTATATTGTATACGTTGTATACATTGCATACAATGCAGCTAATGTCTGCATTTATGGTTGATATTTCAGGTTCTACTACTACTAAGAAGGCGTGAATCACTGAATAATTTGGTTGTTTGTTGAGTTTAGTGATGATTTTGTTGCAATTTATATTACTGGAATATATATTGAAGATCAATTATTATTAATGTAGGCTGTATTTCTTATTTATGTTTAATGTTAATAAAGTTAAATAATCATACATATGAAACACTAGCTATTTAGTTTTAATTGCTCTACAACTTTTTGGTAGAATCTACTTTTTGACAAAAGCTCACGACTTTCTTTTGTTTCGAAAGTAAATTTAAAGAGTTGGTGGCTCTGGAGTAACAACTTAAAGATGTGTTTCGGTGAACTAGTTAGATTCTGTAGAGATGATCAGCTTAGTCTTCTCTTCGATAATATGAACAAGTTCATTCTAAAATGTGTATTACACTGTCACCAAAATCGTTGAAATGTGATAAAATGCACCTTCTGAACCTCGTCATGCTTTTCGGCCTCAAAATTAGTGCTAGTTTTGACCCTTTTTGCAATTTCACGAGAATCTTAATGCATAACACTGGTCCTACGGAGTTTACAACTTCAGATTTTATTACTAAAAGAGTCAGTGTGTCAACGAAATCGTTATACCCGATCTTCCTCCATTGCTATAAAATATATTATATAAAAAAATACATAAATAAGGTGTGAAAATTCGTCACCTTATAAGTTCTAAGATATCACCTCCGCTTCACTGGAAAGGGGCCCAAGTCATTTTTTCATACGTGAAATCTATAGATGTTTATATACAGTCGAGTAGGATTTACATTTTTTCAACCATATATCACATTGATGGTGTAGTGCAAAAATGTTGTATTTGATAATAACCGGAAGATGAAACATCCAATGGAGTAAGTGATAAATTCATTTATAACACGTCTGGATATAGTTTTGTTCTTGCTACATTTGTGCGCTGCACGATCGGCAATATACCTCATTTCAAAATAGCAGCCATCACAAAGAGAGAAAAGCTATGTCCAGAACTTTCGTTCACATCCGGTAAATGAAAAAAAATTGACATTAGTTTGAAATATAACTTAGCAAATAAATAGTGTTCATGCAAATTCATGTCTAACCATTCAGTGGAATAATTGAGCAGAAATCCTACAGGCATTGTATATGTGGAAAACGAAGCTCTACGTGAAAAGACATGTACTATGCCCTATTTCACGAGTATCCATCACGGTAGAATGACAGCTGATTTTCTAGTAATATCTCAAAATTCCCATATCGACACAAGACACATAATTCTGACGGATCCATGAACGCCAGGTAGACAGAGCCGAATTTTGTTTTGTTTTTCTGTACGCTACAGATTCATTTTGTACTTGCTAACAGCTATTTTATTTAGAAAAATTAACTTGCATACGGAAAAACGGCACAAACAAGTTTTACTAGATTTATACCCGATCCATTATTGCCAACGTTGCAGAATAACACAAAAATGTCACTTGCTGATCAGCTGTTCACCTCAGTAGACGTCAAAGCTTTATATATGCATACTCGTGAAACAGCGTATAGGTCATAGATGACTTATCATGAGGTTACGTCACTTAAGGAGTTTTACAGACATACATACATATTAATTTGGTATAAAAGATGTAAAGAGTGAGAACTCTATCTGTTGTAGTCTGAAGGAGACTTAACTAATAAGTCCGTAGTTCTACATAAAAATATACATAAATAATTTATTTTTATACAGTTAAGGATTCTTGAAGTTGCTGAAGGCTTAACTGCTACAGTTATTTACTTGATAAGAGGTAAATTGAGATCAGGGTCCTGATTAAATTAATTAAACTCAAGTTTGTGAGTGATGAATCTTTGGAAAAACTATAACAAATGTCTGTAATCAACGATCTGATAAATTGCAAATATAAATATTTGGATTATGTTGATTCGATCCGCCAAGAACTACTTACGTAACATTAGTGTGCCATGACTCAATCCTTCTTGTATAGATTTCGCCGACCTCTTTGACCTCATCTAACTCGATTTGAACCCAACCCGTTCTCTCCGTAATAATAATTGCAAAAAACGACACCTGCTCTGTCTATTTCCTGACTTCATTTATGACATAATTCAATTCCCTCTCATCGATCGATTCCGCATTGAGTTCGTCGCTTGTAATTATCGTACCGCTTGTATTTACACCGGGTGGGCCAGTAATAAAGGACGCTGACTGTATCTCGGCAACCGCTCCGCATAGAGCTATCAGTTCAAATATATTATAATAGAAGTGGCCAAAAGAATTGCTGGAAATTATTTTCAGATTCCTAAAGCGGCCGCTAGATGGTGTCATTCCAATTTCAAAAACCCAAACGCCATTATTTTACAAAAATCGTAATTGAAATATTTAAAAGCCTCATCTTGTTGACCGCTCAATTACAGAACCTTTTGTCCTTGCCATTTTTTCAAATGTAGGTTAGTTGGTGGCATGGGAAGAGTACTATCATTTCAGAATGCACCATAACTTCTGATTGGGCTGTACCGATTTTGGTGATCTTGGTTTCGTTGTGAAAGTTTATCTACTCACCTGCGCTCCTAACGAATGCTTAACCCAGTCAGATTAGTTATAGCCACTAGAAGGCGCTTTGTTGACGTGACAGCGTCTTCTTGGATTTCTTCGGAAATTACTATTACGATATGATTTTTTTATACTGATTGGAAAGTATGTAACAAATCCTAAAGAATGGTTAAAAACGCAGATCAATACGTTTATTCGTTATGGAGATATATTAAGAGATAGGCTAAAATCACAAGTTTCAAGTGATAATAAGAAGAAAGATTTATGTTATGAATGGTTGGATAAAAGGTACCAACATCACACGATTTTGAGATATTTTACTTTGTATGATATGTTATTAGTCAGTGCCAACGTTGGCCAGTCCCGGACAATGCGCATTGGTTTAGCGTTCACATATTGGTGTTGGCCCACCTTGGTCCAATATGCAACTACAACATAACGGACTGAAAGCTTAATGTTTCCATGTTTCCTGCGAAGGAATATATTTTTATTTTTACTAATAGCTGGCGTACCAACTATGTATTTCTGTGTACACTTTTCTCATGCTCCAGCTATAGATTTATCGTAATTTTAGGAAATTTGCACACACTGACTACTATAGTAGTAACTGAAGAACTCGTTGCACTGTTATAGCCGACTAGTACTTGAGATCATTTAAATCTTGGAATATTAAAAGGATTAAAATAGTCACAGATGTTTTCTATATCTTCTGAAGCAAAATCTACATATTTTTTTTTTGAGAGAAACATGCTTGAAAAAAATCATTGAAAATTCTATATATATCTGTTGTGTCGACCTGTATGAAGTTGTACCAACGCAATGATTACGGAAATACAAAATCCCAAAATTATCAGATCTAGAGACTTGACTAGGAAGAAAATAATGAATTAAGCACCAAACTGGATATTTTTAGAAAAATGTTGAAAACTTATTTGTCTCGGAAACAGTTGATTTTATATGGTGATGACCTCCACAACTTTCCTTCTAACCCCGCATACATTTCAAACTGCAATTATTTCTTAAATGTATTCTAGCTGTCGCTGATACATGAACATTTTTTCAGCTGAAATTGTGTCCAAGGTGAAAGATGGTTGACTCCAACTAGCAATCAACGAATTCTCTTTTCTTTTGATAATATAGCAAGGGACGAGGAATGAGCATGATGGTGTTCTTGTCGAAATAGGACAAACCGTGTGCTAAAATTGTTTATTGCAGAGACGATTTTTAAAATTTCTGTATTTCCTGCAACTACTGTAAATATGAATTTTTTGTGATCTTGTATAGATTATGTTTGTTGTAGTGAATATATCTGCACGTACTCCAAATCATCGCAATAAATATATTACCTACTCACATTACTGTTTAATTTTACGCACATTTTTCATTAATACGCGAATATCAGGAACATTAAGAAAAGATAGACGTTTGTTACTTTGACTTTTCGAAGATATAAATTTATATATACATATTCAGTGTATTTTTAATGAAGTAGTGAGAATTGTACGTACTATTTGAAACAGGTATGTTAATAGTGGCATATGAAGCATACAAAATATACGATATTTTGAAAACATGTTCCTTTTCTTTTCCCGCTTCGTGCTCGTCTAGCCTCAGGTCAACTCTTACTTTTAGAAAAATGCATTTTTTATTTTTAAGGCTATCTGTTGCTCCAAAATGCGAAAAAATACAGAACACCAAAACCAAAAATCTACCAGCATGGATTAGTCTAAGCTCAAGATAGACAACATAATACAATATTACGATATGAAATGCTGTGTTTCATGTTCATGCAATAGCTATGTTTCTTTTATCAGCAATAATTAGAAAACTACTTTGAAACGGTTAGTGTTTGCAGCGCCATCATGAGACACATTTGATCCTGAATGCGTAAGTACAGTCTGACTTAATCAATAGGTACTCTATCTTATTACTTGCAACAGCAGACTGAAGGTCGGTAACACTTGTCAAGCTTTTGCGGATTTTCTTCGGGGCTATTTCATGACACTGTATAAGTGACATGTGCATATGTTGTATGTAGCCGTTCCTTAGATCCCGTAAATCAAATAACGCATAAACGGTGATTTACAGAAAGTATAAATATTTGGGCAATCTTTTTATTGTATGCTACACAATTTTGGTGTAAGCTACTTTTGCGATTATTTATTCGTGCCGTTCCAGAGAACTGTCAAAAATGGTAATCAGTGTAGTTAAGTGAACAGGATTTTCATGCACTTTTAGAATTATTAAAAATAATAAAACTATTTTATTACAAGTTTTCTAGGAAATTTAGAAAAATGGCGATTTTGTCAATGAGCGCCATCTAATGGAGGGAAAACGAACTAAGCCGACAAAGGCCTTTTTAATCAACCAATGGAAATCGGTAAACAATCAAAAGTTACACTACTTTTTCTGAAACGACCTTGAACCCTTCTCCACTCAAGCTAAAAGATACCAACGTTACTAAACACGAACGCTATTGAATGAAGCTACTTTAGATGTTAATAATGAATGTTGTCAAAGAAAGGCTTTTCTAATTTTGACACTATCGTTACACCCCCTAGCGGTCATTTTAGGACACTGAAAATATTTACTGTGACCACTATTAATTAATAATTTTTTGAACTATAGCTGTAAATTCAGTGGTTTCCGAGATTATTAATGGTCTACCTGGTACAATAACAACGCAACCTTTAAGCAAAATGCTTACGTCGTTTGCGTAAGAAATATAAGTATAAATGATACAAGATTACGTGATGGTTACAAGACACTCCTAGATCATCCAGCTATCGAATGCCAACTTCGCGAACAGTCAGCAGGTCAGCACGTGCTAACCCCTCCGTTACCCCCGCGACCCTTGGTTAAGCGCCGGCGTCAAAAACCAGACGAGGGGTGATATTGGAGTTGCCAGGTACATGTTTATCTTTTCCTGGGCAGTTAGGCTGTTAAGGGAGTTGGAGTTCCAAATTACTGAGTGCTTGATTTGACCTGTCCAAGCCGTAAACATACCTTCCGAAACACGTGCAAGTTGTCTCACTGAATTATCTCCATGTTACACATACTTATTACTAATAATAAAAACACAAGAAACACTGACGTTTCGGCCAGAATTTTTCCTTCTACGTCTGTGGTTGTATTCTACAGTATATTATGGAGATCGTCGTCCAGAACTAAATGAAGAAAGTAGTTCTTTTTATTCTTTCTTCACTTTAGTTGCGGATAAAAACAATGTATATTACCTCCGTCTAATCCATACGTGAGAAAAGTACTGCCATCACGAAATGAGTATTTTGGACATTTTATAAAACAAGCAACACAAAAAAACATGTTACACACTTCTACCAGCCAATGACGAGTGCTACTTTCTTCACTGGTGCTTCGTCGTTCCTCAGCAGTCTGCTGAGCATGCGTCCTGTTCCGTATAGTACTGCCTCCCCTGGTTAACTCAGACCACGTTATTGTAGAGGTCATATTTCAGTCATAACTGTCTGTTACAGCAGAAACTCGCCCAGAAATGCTCAGGGCTCAGATATTTTTCTTCAGTTTAAGATATGTTTGTTTTACTGACTCGAATATGTTGGCTGTCTGTTCTTCATCAATTGAAGTTATCCACGTTAGGATATGGGTACATCCCTCATACAGTGAAAGTGCTCAAGCCAGGGTCCAACGGATGGTTCAAAAGATGCACACTGCTAGTCGACAGAAGAACAAGGCATCCTGAACCTTCTCAGAAAACCCCACCGATGAGAAAAGACAAGCCATTATGTGTATTGAAGACAATGATCCATATAATCGTTCGTATGGTACAATGCGTATGCAGTAGATGAGCTTACCTGTGTTCCAGTAAACGTAAATATACGAATACCGTTGTAATTTTCCGGTGCTTTTCCTGTTTTTCCGGGCGTTTGGCAACCTTAGTTGAGGTGCGCTACCCCTGCAGCAACGCCTAGCCATTACCAGGCAGTGCGTGTGCGACGGTGGCGTAATAAACACGTAGAGCAAGGGGCGGCCTACACGGGGCCAGACAAGCTCGCTGCTGTCCCACACCCCTTACCAAGGAACAGATGGTCCGGAGGCCTAACTCGTCTGGACCAAGTGTGACACCTTCATGGTGAGTTGCGACATTGTTCGGAAATGCTCTGACCTAGTGGCATGGTTATATTTTTGAAGGATACAGGGAAGTTTGAAATAACCTCATCAAGGCCAAATCACCACAGTATCCAATAAGTTTCGGAAATGATTTTTGAAGGTTGAAATAGCTATATGTTTTTTTCTCTCAAAGCTTCATTAATATTTTTATAATAAGTTACTGTATTAAATATGAATATGAGATAAATTTTATCATCTGTAATATTGCTTCCTTTATGGACTGACCTAGTGGCATAATTATTATTTTTGAAGCTATCAATAATGTTGATGTAAGCTAACTTGATAGATCATGCAAACTTCAGCCGTCGATCAAGCATTAGAAATTACAGTTGATAAGTTAACAGTATAATAGATTTGCAGCGTTACTGTTTTAGAATCACGTTGGTATTTCACACAATATTCTCTAAACTGTTCAAGATAACCGATAAAGGTAGACGACAAGCTGTTACCTAAAGCTTGATATTTGTTCGGAGCTTGATTGTTTTTACCTTGATTAACATTTAGACAAAATTATTGTACAAACTGTGATCTAGCGGCCAGTTAATAAGACTTTTTGGAGTAATCTGTACCACTAGTAAACAGATTCTTTGTCTGATATAATAATGTTGGAGTCTTTGCTTTTTTTTGTTTGATATGGTGATTTGAGTATAATACCGTCTTCTATACAAGAAGTATACTCTTTCAAGAAATAGTTTAATTTTTTTTAAGTAAATAAACCATTGATAGTTTTTTCTTAGGATTGTCTAGATGCCTTAATAAAATAAATTTTTGGGGAGCATGGGAGCCTCAGCTTTGCAGGCATTTTGAAGCACGATTTTGATTCATCCGGCAAGCCAGTATTCATTAGCTGCTTGAATTAATCAATAACGTTCTTAAACGGCAGACTTTCACGTTTTGCTTGATATTTAGAAGGGTCTCAATTTTTTGATGTTAGTAATATTCCTCCAACCCCGGTGAATATACGTTCCTAAACTTAAACATATTTCACACCTCATACACTTCCCAGTAATTTGGCTTTAAATGCCGACGGATTACGTACCTATCGGTCGCACTTGCTGTACGCTACAGGATCGTAAATATTGCAGTGGTTCCGAGGGACTTGTAACAGTAGGTAGCAGACGATGCGGTAATACGATATGCACATAGGAGATATTATCTATGTTTACGAGCAACATGCTTGGAGTGTAATTTTTTGAAGTTACATGATTTTGTGGGGGTCCATCATATAGTATATATGGATAGTATATACAGGGTGCGGCAGAGAGGATGGACGGTTTTAAAAAATCATAAAATAGTTAATTTTTACTCGAAAACAAATTTATTGATGGAATCAGGTTCACAAGGAACATTTGAGAGAGTCAAGTGTGGAAAATCACATCAGGCATGTGGTGGTCGAAATCGTTGATGCAGTGCTGGAGGCGTTCTTGGAAGTTTGCGTAGACTCTCACCAACATCGCTCTCTTAACTTGGGCGACTTCCACGCGAATTTCGCCCTTCAATTCGTCCAGAGTTCGGGGCTTGTTCGCGTATACTCTAGCCTTGAGGTGTCCCCATAAGAAAAAATCGCATATGGATAAATCTGGGGACCGAGGAGGCCAATGACCATCGCCAAACCTGGAAATAAGGCGACCAGGGAAACAATCATAGGCGAAAACACGGTTCTCCACCGTCCAAGGCTCCATAAAGACAACTGGTAAAATAATGCTAGGATCTCACTAGTCAAACGGCACCCTCCCCACCTCTCTCGTAGACGGAGTACTACCCATCCCAAAAACGTCCGTCCTCTCTGCCGCACCCTACACATATGTATAGTATCAAGAGCAATTATAATCAGTGGCGTTAAAATGATCATAGTCACTCCTATGGCATAGGTAGCGAATTAAATGCCTTTATGAGAGAAACATAACAAGCAAGGCGATGCTATTCTAAATCCAATATGTTGGCCACCGCAAAATGGCGATTTATAATTTCCATAGCCACCCCTATACTATGGGTATAAAATGAAATGGCTTGTACAGGGAAACATAGTAAGCAGTGACGACATTCTGGTCCATGGTCATCACTATAATATGGGTATCAAATGAAAGGGCTTAATGAGACAAACACGATAAGCAAATAACGTTATTCTTAATTCGATATGGTGATCACCGCAAAATATCTATTTTTCATTATATGATTTATGTTTATCGAAGTTTCTAATATAAATAAAGTAAGAAGTATTATGGAATCCTACTAATAAAACATTGTAAAGTTATATAGAAATTATCAGACTAGTAAAGGTAAAAAATAAAAAAGCTTTTGTTTAGCTTTTAAAAAGATGAAATAACTCTTAAAAATAATTTTTCCGATTGGAAATATTTAAACGGTAATAAAGGTTCTTCATCTAAAGTTTTACAAATAAAAGCGTGTTACGTTTCAACAGCAGGA